TCTATCTATCTATCTATCTATCTATCTATCTATCTATCTATCTAATCTATCTATCTCCTTTTCCAAGACAGAGTTTCTCTGTGTAACAGCCCTAGCTATTCTGGAACTAACTCTGTGGACCTGGCTGGCCTTGAACTCACAGAGATCCGCCTGCCTCAGCCTTCTGAGTGCTGGGATTAAAGGCATGCGCCACCATCTTGCCTACCTTTGATTTTTAAACAATCCCATAGATGAACTTTTAAAAGAGATTTTGAACTTTTAGAGAGAATGGATATCTTAAAGAGACTGAAATTTTTTATGTTTGAATTTGTAAAGACTGGACTTTTAAAATTATTTATGATTTCCATGTGAGATCTTGGGAAGGAATAAGAACGGGAGGGTTGTGGCTGAATAGTGATGGTTTGTGTGTCAGGTTGACAAGGGGTCAGCATCACTGGCTGGTTTTGTGTGTCAGGTTGATATAAGCTAGAGTCTTCAGAGAGGAAGGAGCCTCAGTTTAGGAAATGTTTCCATGAGATCCAGGTGTAAGGCACATTCTCAATAGTGATTAGTGAGGGAGAACCCAGTCCAAAGCAGCTAGGGACAGCCCTGGGCTGGTGGTCCTGGGTTCTCTCAGACAGCAGGCTGAGTCAGAAAGCGGCTCCCTTCATGACCTCTGAGTCAGCTCCTGCCTCTGGGGTCCACTGTGCGAGCTCCTGTCCTGTCAATGGTCAGGTGCCTAGTTGGGAGCTGGCCGCTGTGTCATATTTTGGCCACAGGGGGGCAGCAGAGGCTGAGGAACTGCAGGTGAGACTTCCTGAGTGGCATATATACTTACATGCACAATAAAAACAAATCAATATAGAGATTTATTTTTATTTCACTTATGTGTATGTGTATATCTTTGTGAGCCTATGCCTCATGTCTGCAGTTTCCAGCCGAGGGGCCAAGGGCATCGGATCCCTGGTGCTGGAGTTGTAGGTGATTGAGAACACCCAATGAGTGTGCTGGGAAGGATCCCCTGAAAGAGCACCCTACCAGCTGAGCCATCTCCCCGGCACCTGGATTAGCATTTCACACACCCTCGGGGTAGGCCACTGAGGGGTCCTGCCAGGCTCTGGTCCTACTGTGAGAGGCACTGT